AGCAAAGTGCTCTTGCAATTCATCATCCTTTACTAAATGTTTCATTTGTAACACACTTGCAGTCAATTCAAATGATAAAGAATTAATAAAAATTGAAAAATGAGAGTAATATATAAAAATACATAAATATATTCATAACACAAATAAATAAAGAAAAAATTGTTTAATTATGAAGGGTTCGAGCTCGTCACAGAATAATTCAATAATATATGCATTGATCTACTATCTTTGGCTATCACAGTTCTCGCAATATCTTAAAATTAGGTATTTTGTTCTTTTGAAAATCAAAGAATTAAATATTAAATATTTTTTCGAAAAATGAATATCAATATAATGATCAAACGATCGAGTTATTCTTCTTTTAAATCAGAAGAAATTTTGTCACAATTAGTGTCACAAAAATGTAACTTGTACTTGGAAGTTTTATTAGATAACATTTTGGCCCATCATTGACCCTTTTCAGATCTTTTAAGACAATTATTTATATCGACATAACCTTCATCTGATGCCACCTACTAATTCCCAGTTATTTTATTATTTCTTAAACTGTAACCTAACTAATCTTCCGACGAAATAATAAATAAAACTCATGACACTATTCTCTATTATTCTTCAAAATTTATTTTTGTAAATTGAACCATACTATCAACATGAAGAAATGACTACTACATTGGTTAATATTTAAGCTAAAAACCGAATATAAAACGGTTGATAATGCAAGGAAAAGCTTATTTAGATAACTCAGTTATTTTATCACTATTTTTATTCTTTCTTCTTTAATTTTCGGTTTAATTACAAATAATTTCGTATACTCTGATACTAACACTAAAAGAACTTGTGAGAAGACTTCACAATCTTCGGAACACTGATTACATTCAAACTTTGCACGCTTATAAAAAATATCAAAAGTAGTAATAATAAAATGTCAAAGTAGTAAAGATCATAGCGTGCAACTCTCCATAAGCAGGAAACTTACGTTTAAAGTTCTTACAATTTATATTTAACTACTTTAGAATAACATAAAATCAAAAATGAATTACAGTATTATTCAAAAATACTAGATTTGTGGATCCAAGAGTGGTGTGTTCAAAAACCAATATTCTTATTCTCCAGCAAACAAATTCTTCTTATTTCTTTGAACAAAATTTTCATTTTATTTCACTGAAAACTTAAACAAATAAATAACCTTTCAATTTAACTCTTTTAAATATACTTTCCACGAGTCTCTAACTCGAAACGCACACATCTTACAAATACTTCAAACACAAACACCTCCCCTTTGAAGAATTGCACACTATGGTTTTGCACTATTATAACTTTCCATATCCTCCATAATCATGCAAAGTTAAAAGTATTAGTAACCACGTCCCTTGTCGAAATGACTGTTCATCTTGAATACGATTACCCTAGCAGACCACCCCGTACATGTTAGCTTCAGTCGTAGAAGAAAATTCGAGGAGGACTTGCATCACATCGAGATTCGTTATCAGCTTCTGCTGAAATTCGTAGATGCTTACGCAAATTACAGAATTATGCAAGTGGGAAGTGTTACGTTGGCCCGAGCGATCTTCTGATGCGCTAATTCCTCGTCTCGCGGAATACGACGCAATTGGTGATTAACGTTTCTCCTCTCCTCCGTCTAGGATGAAAATAAACAGCACGATATCTTGACGAGCTTCACGTGTGGGTATTTCCGGGCGGGAAAACTTCGAAGAATTAGATCGCGGCTGAGAACTGATAAACACTGAAAGACCGATAGTAGAAGCTTGATCCATGGATCCGCTTATCAGAGGGTATCTGCGTATTTATCTCGCGAGTGTCATATCGATGCAATCAATTATCTCGAGGCGAGACATCAGTCCAAGATCTGACAGCTTCTGGGTGAATATCGACAAGGCCGCGGTGGAACACGAGGGGGGAAATGGGGAAAAAAAGGGGAACAGGAAAGTCGATTCGCCAAACGATCGAGGTACGAACTACGGTCCGTACGAAGCCCCTGCTAAAGCCCCGAGGAGCCGAACAAATAAATGCTGAAAAGAGGAACAAAACCGACATTATGTGGCATTAACATACAAAGTATGTCAGACCCGCGGTCCGCAGGCATAACATAGTATCGCGGCGTTCGCATACCCCGCCCGCTTTACAGTGACCAGCAGGAACGGGAAAGCATTGAAAAGAGACCGATCCCGAAAGCGGTGAACAGAGATCAGGGACGAAAGAAGAGAGACGCGTGTGTCGAGGGAGTAGAACGGTCGAACATGAACAGAAAAGAGAGGGTGGAATGATGAACGCAGGAAGGTGTGCGTGCTGCGGAAAAGGAGCAAGGATGAGACCGAGGGAGACAGTTTAAAGATGAGACGGGGAAGAAAGAGAAGGCAACGGAGCAGAGAGGAACGTTTACGCTATCCGCAGTCCCCCGAAGTCCCATCCCGTCCCATCGTTTCGTTGTCCCCGTGTGTGCCACGCGGTGCGGCTTAACGCAAAAGGGCTCCAACGTGAGCGGGAGCGGAGTAACAGAACGCGCAGGAAAGGGAAAGATCCGAAGGCAACGGTGGAGCCGGTGGCAAAACGAAAAATCGGCCCGCATATATCGAGCCGACCTGCGACGACGACGACGATCGCGGCGGCGGCTACGACGACGACGACGACGACGAAGAAGCTGGGACACACACATAAAACCATGGATTCCGTGTGTTCCCGCTGCCTAGAGGACTCCCGATCAGCTACCGCTAGCGTTGGCTCTGAACTCTGCCAGATACGTGATTCAATCTACGGTCGATCAAATCTGACTTTCTTAGGGATACGTGGCAACAGGATAAAGAGCTCTCGCTGATTTTGATCGATTTTTAGTGAATTTGAAAAGTTGGGGGTGAGTCGAGAATTTGGAGATTTTGGTATTTAGAAATGTAAGGATTTAGTAATCTTGGAATTTAAAGAGTTTGGAAATTGAGGGTCTATAAGTATAGAAATCTAGGTATTATTAGTGTCGCAATTTGGAGATCTTGAAATATGGGAATATAGGAATTTGAGAATCTTGAATTTTTGTGGTTTAGAAATTTAGAAACAGGTATTTTAAGATTTCAGAATTTAAAAATCTAAAAATGTGAAAATCTAAGGATTGGAGATTTAGAGTTTTAGAGATCAAGATATTTGAGAATTTAGATATTTGTAAATCTAGAAATTTGAGGATTTTAAAATTTATGAATATGAGAATTTAAGAAACTTCAAAAATTAGGAATTTCAAAATATCGAGATTTAGAAGATTGGAAAATAGATAATTTGCAAATGTAGAGTATTAGTAATCTAGAAATGTAAGGATTTGAAGAATTAAATGCTTAGAAAACTGGAAAATTTGTAAATTTCAAAATTGAATAATTTGTGAATTTTAGAAATTTAAAAATGTCAGAATTGGAAGATCTGAAAATTTGTGAATTTAAAAAATTTGTGAATGTAAGAATTGAAAGATTTCACAATCTGAAAAATTGTAAATTTGAAAATTTATAAATTACGAAATTTAAATATTTAAGAATTTGAAAATTCGGAAATTTGTGAATTTAAATATTTTCAAGTTTACATATGTGTCCTTATTCACAAAAAAAAAATCTTACGTTGTACCTAAATGTACACACAATATTATTTCAAAATTTACATTCATATATTTTTTATTTTCTCTTTTATTCTATGTACACTTATTAATTATTAATAATTAACTTTTAATAATTTGTATTAATCGTTAAATGCCCGCCTCAGAAAGCTCAGGTAAATTTATCTTTTTGCTATTTCTAACAATGAGATGAATACAAATTTGCAAATTTCAAACTTAAAAATTTTCAAGTTAATTAAAATGCAAAATCGCAAATTGTTAAATTTATAAACTTGTCAATAAACAAACCATAGATTCTGAAATTTTTAAGTTTCAAATATACAACCTTATAAATTTCCAAAATCATAAATTCTAAAATTTAGGAACTTTCAAATTTTTGATGGAAAGAGTTCTTTTTACATAGCTAATTCTAAGAACTCTATCATAAAGCCTTGTGACATTATAACGTGAGTCTACTGTACTTAGTGTCCGCGAGTGCATGCCACTTGCGTGTCCATACACATTCACGCCCATCACTCACATAAAACAATCTAATCATAAATAAAGTTCTAAGCTGGAATCTGAACCTTCCTCCATAGTATTGCTAGCAAAATAGCAGGTTCTTTATTGAATTTGAAAATATTAATATTTTTCTAAGCATTTTTATTCACTTTAAGTGATATGTATAATGAAAAAATATAAAATAGAATACATATGAACAATTAAGAATTAAAATTTTTATATATATATGGAAAATATTATATTTTTGTTCTTTTAATATAATTGAAAAGAATAGTAATGTTCTTTTTCAGTATCAAAGATAGAGTCATAAATAATTTTGTGTTAAAATATATTTATTTTTAGAAAAGAATATAAAATATAATAATGAATACTTTTGAACAATATCGTTTTTCCCGATTCGAGAGTCACGCATGCCCAACGCTAGTCAATGTCTTTACGTCACTTTACGATTTTACATTTAGCCTTCTGTTCACTAGCTACTGAAAAAAACGTACATTTACGACTGAAATCCGCATTTTTAAACACATTTATGCGACATCTACCTCCATTGTGAAAAAATAAGTTCCAATTAATTAACATGTATAGAGTCGTATAACGGTAATATTATACAGTAATAGATTACTGTAACATCAATAAAAAATTAGCGTTTAATAAAAATAAACATTCTTTTATTAAGAAACAGAAATTTATTCGAAATAACAATTTTTGATTGAATATTTACTGTAGCTGTGATGCAATCGCATTATAAATTCTTTGTAAGTAACATAATGAATCATTAGTAAATCGGTAATTTACATATAATATATTAAAAATTATTGCAATATTAAAGCTGTGAATAGTAAAGCAATGTATACCATAAAAATTATTGTTAATTATTATTTCATAATACTATTGGTCAAAATCCAACATTAAGTCAATGTTTTATTAACATACACTAAGTAACCCTTTGAGGATAGGATACCACGACACTTTAAATGTATTTGATATCTTGTAACCCAATACAAGCTTGCATTAGTATTGAATATTTCATTTAGGTCCTCTTGTGGAAGAATCTCTGTACACAAAAAATATGACAGTTAAAAGAATATTAAGTGCTATGCTATTACTGTCTATAAAATATCAACTCACGTCCAGGATCATTGTGTGTTAATAACTGCACATCATTTTCTTTAGTGAATGCCTGTAAAGCTGGTGGTACAACACAACACGTAGCTAAACTAATTTGTACAATATTTGGTTTTACCTATATAAAAAAGGAGATAAATATATATAATTCATTTAACATTATATGCTTATATAGTATTTTTATGTGCATTTATAGAATAATATCTTGAAAATAATTATACAAAAATAATGATCTTACAGTTGCCCATTGAAATAGTTCAATAAATTCATTTGTACCGATATCACTTAAACCAACACTTGATAATTTGCCAATTTTAATATACTCTTCTACTCCAGTCCACAAATGTTTCAAAGATGTCAATAATGCTTCAGGACTATCTTTATCTGAATATGCAATTACCAAGGACTCAATTGCACTTATATTTAGAGCGTTGCAAACTAAACAAATAACACAACATGAATTTATATTAATTATATTAATATTAATTTATATTAACTCAATCAATATATATTAAATGATGAATAATGTCCTATGTGTGAGTTTTATACCTTGATCTATGGCTTCTTTTAGTAAGTTTACATCAGGCGAGGACATAAATACCTTCACCGTTATTTTAACATCTTCTCTATTAATATCCTTTAAAGCATTGTCTTCTACTCCTTGAATCTACAAGCAAATATATTTGTATAATTATAATAATAGACTGTTCAGAACTATAAAATAATAAATCATGAGTAATCATACTTACAACCACTGGATTTTCACCACTACTTTTATTATCCCGTAGTACAATCTTCAATGTTTCTATTAACTAAAAATAATGTTGAAAAATATTATATTACTGTAAATAACATAACCTCAAGGATTAAGATCCTGAGTACTATATATAATAAAATGACATTTATAAAACGTGACATTATAAATATATTTAAAACTGACCTCATCCGTGGGATTTTGACTTGCTTTTGTTTTCGCCTCATTTAAGGAAAGTATATTTCCAGTACGTACTAATACGTTTTGTGACATAGTATGCAAAAATATAGAAAAAAAATATTAAACGGCACGTAAAAGGTGGCTAATAAATAGCGCTTGGAAAACTGATAACATAGATCGTAGTCGAGTGATTAAATACTTATGATGAATGAATCGTAGACGACTCCTCTCTGACTAGGCAATTTTGTCGATAGATAATATGAAGTACATTTCATCAGGAAAGCATTTACGTTTAAAACATAAAATCTTCTTTTCTCAAAAGTGTCATACTTTGATCACATTATTTGGTATGTACTCAGGCCTGATAAGCATAAAATATTTCATGGTAACTTGCAGAAAAATATTGACAATTGCGTGAATATGACTGCATCATCGATTTCTTGATATCATACATGCATTGCGTAATCATACACAATATGATTCAATATATTTCTTTACGTAAAATTATAAAAATTCATTTTTTGAACGTTTTGTACAAGCATATTTATATTTTTGAAAAGTAGTTAAAATTCTGTACGTTTACATAATAATGGCTTGTGATATTACATGTAATGCTGTTACGTAATCATAAAAAGTGTTAAACTAACAATTTTAGATCTTCTGTGAATCAATTTTCAAATCTTCTTTATAAAAGTACAATGTTCAATTTAATATTTGAATTCTTTTGCTCATATTAAATGATGTTGCAAGTAATGTCTATACTTTCTGTACAAAAAGATTATAGTTGCGAAATAATGAGTAATTTGTTAATGTACGTTAATGGAAAAAACGTCAAATTTTAAATATAGCATCAGGACCTCATGATGAGGACACATAAACCAATTGAAATGTGTTCAAAAATAAACAAGAGTTGCACGACAAAATCAATACTATGATATTATAACATATTTCATTGGTTTATTATTGAACGTCGATAAATTGATTATCAACAATAGGTAGCGCATCAATCGTGCAAATATAAGAATTAAAAAACCGCTCTATAAAACAGGTACACCGTGATTACAATTGTGATCAGCAAAAAATAAATATATACATATATTCTGTTTGTTATCTACGATTCCGGTGATAACGATACTTTGAAGAAAAGTGCTTGAACTACAATTATTTAATTAAAAATGCCTGCTGATGTGTTTGGATATATCTATGCTGCTACAGTAGCAGCTGGTGGTGTACTCGGTTATGTAAAAGCGCGTAAGTTTTAATATTTTAAACTATATCCTTTACTGGAGTAAATAACTGAACACGTATATGGTTTAATAATTTTATTTTTATGAAATCTGCATTATGTTTCTATTATGGTTTTCTTAATACAAATATTTATTAAACACATCATTTAATATTTTAGAGTCAATTCCTTCCCTGGGTGCTGGGCTTGTTTTTGGATCTGTCTTGGGTTATGGAGCATACCAAACTTCGCAAGATCCCACTAACGTTAAGCTTTCCTTAGCAGCAAGCTTAGTGCTCGGTGGAATAATGGGTTATCGCTATCATGCGACTGGTAAAATAATGCCAGCTGGAATACTTGCAGTATACAGGTATTATTCTTAGTAATTAAATTGTGTTGCAAAGTTAAATTAAATTTATGACTTTAATATTCTTGAATTTTGTAGCTCTGTAATGGCAATCAGAAGTGTCATCAAATATTTTGGAGAATCCCCCATGAAAATACAGTAAATCATTTAACAATGTTTTACAATTTATTTTATGGTATAAGGAAATAAAACTATATGTATATAGGATATATAAGCTACATAATATTTACATTAAACTTTATATTTGTTACATGAATATGTGCATTCTAAACATAAATATACTCCTTAAAAAAGGTTAGCATATTATTTTAATTGTTGCATAATTTTAGTTGAAAACGATGTAATTATTGTTATGTAAAAGAGAACAAAAATTGTACAAATAATGCATTTTTATATTTTATATATATTCAGATTTTATTTGTATTGTAGTACAATTGGACGTCACTACAAGATATTTACATTTATTTAACTTTTATATAGGTATTTGCACCTGTTATTTAAACAGTTAATGAAATATAAGGCTTGTCTGTATCAATATACCACAGAATAAATATTACATATTATTTTTACCAATTTTTGTTAATTTATACATGTGCTGTTTTAATGCACTTAACTTTTAAAAAATGAAATTCCAATTATTAGTCATAATATTATGTACAATTCAGAATATAAATTATATGAAGATGTAACCTGTTTTTCACTTCTCCGTAATTAGATGAACCTTTAAACATTCTAAAATTTTCAAATTTATATTTATAAATTTCCAAATGTTCGAATTTAGAAATATAGAAATATTTTACATTAGAAATCTTCAAGTCTCAAATTCTCAAATTAAAAAATTTTAATTAATTTATATGTATAATAGAAACAGGTAATATTTCATTGATTTACTCATTTCGATTCTTAATATAAAGACAATTAATTATGTCACTTTTATACAATCAAAATACTGTAGTTAATATTTGTATTTAATCATAATTACGAAACGGAAAGAACTTCAAATTATTATCAAAAAATCATGTTTTCCTTGAACGGTCGAATCAAATTTTCATCACATTTTTCTTATTACATATTTATAATAACAAATATTTCATAACAGTTTACATAAATATTTAGAATACGACGTTTTCAGTCGAGTGAGCGAAATCCTTTTTAAATTTCGTTGGTAACTTATTTAAATCGAATAATCGAATGTGTTCGATAATCGAAATCTCGAACTCGAAGCTCGAGTTACAAAATCGACCGCACCTCGTATCGGATGCATTTACGAACCTCTCTTGGAGCTCCTGCTCGGTGGTGTGCCCGTAGGAGGAAGTTCTTCGAGGGTTTGCCAGATTTAACGAATTTTATACGAAACAAATCACGATTAACGAGTTATCCGACCGACGCGTTAATGTTCGCTCGTAACGCTTAAACAGTTACGAACGAATGTTCTTTTTCGACTCTTATTACGGAGAACTGGTCGCGATAGAATTCGACAGACACTGGTCATCGCACGAACGAATCTTCAATCTTCATCGACTGATTTGACTGATTTTTGAGATCCAGTCACCGAAAACTTCCATCATTCCGTCAAAAACCGAGTGCCGACCCGCAGGGTGGCGATCATTTGATAAGGTACGTAATTTCAAAGTATATTCAATATCATCCCTTAAGCGCATGGTGTAATCGTTGGTGGAGCACCTCTGTCACGTGAAAATTTAGTTATCGATGAATCACATAGCTTACGCTATAACGTATGCTAGCGAAACATTAAATATTTTTTGACCGATGAATCATTATTTTCTTCAATTTCCTTGTTACAACGTTTCTTCACTATGCGGAACCGTTTTGCCGATTCCCTTTCGTAATCTACTGCACTTTTCGATAATTTTATCGATATCTCGTACCCATATCGTAAGTGACGTTTATACAAGTTGATTTTAAATTATTCATTAAATACTGTGCATGATTTAACATATTTGCTCACATTGTACCGTCTCGGCAACATTATGTTTGCGGAGCAGTTTGTATTTCCATGCTAATATTATCTTCAAGTTGCTGCTTCCTAACTTGGTCTGATATTTCCTGCATAAACCAGTAAAATCATAATTGAGTCAGAAAGATTTTTTTCAAATTTGTATTCACTTATAAACATAATTCTTTCGAATTATTAATAAGAATTATAGAGTATTACTGTATAAACTGGATTTTTATTTTTATATTTGTAATACTAAAAGTGGTATGATTTTTAATAATTTAAAGAATAAATTATTTTTCATATCTGTTACAAAAGTTAAAGCAAATTATTTAAATATATTATTAAGTATGATTATTTCATCATGAATTATATTTGATCAGTTTTAATATAAACTTCTTAGGTATATATTGTAAAATCTTTTAATTTTTGTATTATGTAATAAAATGTATATTATAATGTTATATAAAATATAAAAGAAAGATATATTATAAAAATAAAGTATATTTTTAACCTTCAAGTATCTTTAGACCTTCATTTATATATTTTTAGATATTTTAAATGGTATTTGTCAGTTTTATGTTTCTATATATTCTATAATAATGAAAAATGTCACTTGTTTAACAGTAACATATGTAATGTTAAATTGCATACCTGTATTTTACTCAAAGCTGTGTCAAGCAGATGTTATCAGTTGTCTGTCAAATGATTTTGATGAATGATTGTAATCTACTACTTTCAACGGTATAACGTAGATTAAACACTATATTCTTATGCCCCCAATGAAGACTTGATCTCTGAGTGGCGTGTGCATTACCCCTCCATGTCCAATTGGATCTTTGTGAACTATGTATTTCTTGGCCGTCAGATAAGCTTTGTTCCATGAAGTAGACTTGGTACCACGCAAAGACTGCCTGATAGTACTTATCTTTCTCGTATAAATAGTGGCCCAAATAATTGCTTCAGGTTCAGTATCATCTTGTATTCTTAGTTGTCCATAACTGTTCTTTAACGTGCAACCATTTAGTAATTTCTTTCTTTTATTTCCATTCTTGTTTGTTTTAAATTATTACACTGATAGAAGTTTTAATAAAATTGTAACATCCATACTTTTAATCCAGTTATTTTATTTCTATAACGTTTTATAAAAGCTACGAGAATTACTTTTAAAAGCCAGGTGAGTGTTGAAAATTTATTGTAAAATGAAACTGTTGAATTATACTTTTCAATAAATTTGTTTGATTCATGGTTTAATACAATAATTGTAACAGCTGTTGCTTAAAATTTAGTATTAAATGTGTGTAAATGTGTACTGTACAGATGTATTCAGAATCTTTAAAGTTTGACGAAAACAGTGTTTAACAAAAGCAAGATAAATTTGAGGTATAAAAGAACATGTGACATGTGTTATTAAGTATTGAGCTATTGGGTAGGAGTTAATTATACCTGCTTGAATAAGCATATTCAACACATGTGTGAAGAAGATATGTAAATTTCTTGACAGAAATTACTGAACTCTAATTTAATATCAATTATACCTACTAAATTATTTCATATAATAGAATAGAATATTTAAAATTAAATATTCAGGAATTACTGCTTTTAATTTTTACTTTGTACTATAAAATAAAAATATTAAACATATGCCATTTCTTTAATTGCAGGGCTCAATCTGCTATAGACTGGTGGTCCAGTCTATTGGTGGGTGTGTGAATAACTGCGGCAACTGGAAGTTGACCCTGAACGCAGAGCCCCCGTGGCTTTGCTAGCACCCCCATAGTGATCTTGTCTTAACCCGCCTCCTCACGACTCACCCAATTCTCATTGACAGCTGCCTCGTATGTAGTTTTGAATAAATTACGAAAATATAATCAAATATCTTTTAATATAATATAATTTAATAACATTTTAATTTCAGTTTGCTGCCTAGCACCTACAGAGTATCTTTTAAAAACTAATAAAACAATCAACATGAAGGTAACGAATCTAGACGAACGTATCCATGTCTTGGACAATGAATCAAACGTTATGACCGTCATCAAAGATATTGCATTGAGTGGATTACAAGAAGAAGCTTTTTATGTACTTGACATTGGTGACATTGTTCGTAAACATCAAATTTGGAAGGAAAAAATGCCACGTGTTAGCCCTTACTATGGTAAGATAATACATATTACGCGTTACGCACGAGTCAAATATAAATGAATTATTCATTAATTTATTTGTTTCTGAAATTTTAGCCGTGAAGTGTAACGATAACTTAGTCGTAATCGAGGTATTAGCTGCTCTTGGTATTGGTTTCGATTGCGCATCTAAAGTAAGTGTAACATGATATTGTGTCATTTATATTAGATAATAGACACATGATCTACGTAAGCTACCAACATTATATATATTTCATTTCTAGTCTGAGATTAATAAAGTCTTAAGTGTTGGAGTAGACTCATCGAGAATCATTTTTGCTAATCCAGCTAAACCAGCATCGCACATACGTCATGCCGCTACCGTTGGCGTAGATACGATGACAGTTGATAACGAAAGTGAACTGCATAAGATTAAGAAACTCCATCCCGATGCTAAGGTACTAAAGAAATAGATTTTTCAATACATATTAATTTTGTAGATCTATACATAATTTATAAAATTTCAATTTCAGATTGTAATCAGAATTCGTTGTGATGCCGAAGTAGCTCAATGCCAACTGGGCATGAAATTTGGTTGTGATCCGATATACGAAGCACCAAATCTTTTACGTCTTTCGCGTGTATTAGGTCTCAATGTTGTTGGAATTAGTTTTCACGTTGGATCCGGTTGTCAGGATCCACCCGTATTTTATCGAGCTATACGTCATTCTAAATCATTATTTGACTTGGCCATGGATCTCGGTTTCAAACCTTATTTACTTGATCTCGGTGGTGGTTATCCTGGGAACAAAGGAACTAGCATCGATAAAATTGCTGACGTTATTAACAAAGCTCTCGATGAGTACTTCGACAGTAAGTATACTTTGTTCACGATCGATAACTTATTTTTGTTCTATTTTAAGTTTTATTCATTTATAATGCTAATTTTTAGCTGATGCCGTTCATATAATCGCCGAACCTGGTCGTTTTTACGTTGCATCTGCATTTACACTCGCAACCAGTATTCATAGCAAACGTTCCGTACGCGGTGATGAAAATTCACCAAATGCCGTCACTCACAACATGTATTATATCAACGATGGCGTTTATGGCTCATTCAATTGTCTGCTCTATGATCATCAACATGTAACCCCTGTACCTCTAAAGGTAAGCAACCGACAGTATTCATAGTATAATAGTTCAAAATAACTCAGAGATCTTTAAATAGCAAATTACAAATCAGTTTTAATAATAATTTTGGTATTAACAAGAGTTTAAGAAACAGTGAGTCATTTCTAATAATAAATATTTTCGAATCAACAGAAAGGTTGTGGAAAAATGATTCCCTCGAGTATTTGGGGACCAACTTGCGATGGTTTGGATCAAGTCGCGGAAAATGTTTTACTACATGATATGGATCTTGGTGACTGGATAATATTTGAAAATATGGGCGCTTACACATTACCGGTCGCTTCTCCATTCAACGGATTTCCGGTACCCAAGGTTCATATTGTCGCAGATGAAAACATTTGGTAAGTCTACGCACGATTCTTTTAGCTTCGATTACATTTTGTTCAATAATATTTTTTAATGCGTTACATTTGCGAGCGTTAACAGTGTGATGGCCAGTGTATTCATAATTTTTACGCATAACTTTTTATTCTCTATCTTCCTTTTATCTACTTCGTTAAATACTAATTACAATTTAAAAATAAGAAGTGTTAATCGTACATGAAATGCAAAATTTTGTATTAATTAAAGTATAAAAGTTCTTCTTATTATTATTATTTTAATTTTAATTAATAATCACCAGCTGTGCATAAAAAAGGAGATAAGATTATAAGGATCATAAATTCCACAAAATTTTTGGCCATCATAAAAGTTAAATCGTTGAAGTAAAGCAGTTTTTTTTTTATTTTTGCGTGATATTTCACAGGTATTTGTTGAAAGGTTCTTTACCTTTAACCGAAGACCACTTTGTTATCGGTAATACGCCAGCTAATTTACGACTTGGTCTAGATATCGGAGGAACTGACACAAACGCATGGCACAATCCAACTATTGAACTGACATCTGCGGAAATATTGGCTGGTGCCACTAATTCTCGATCGTCATTCATTTACGATTACGTTGAAGTTGATCCGTTAAATTAATTAAGATTAATTATGGATTACATTATGACGACAATGCATGGAAAAAACGACATTGCAGGCAAAAAACCGCATCTTTTATTACGAACGTATACAGTCATGGCTAAAGTTAAAATTCGATATTTTTTTACGATTTACAACTTTTAATCGTATATTTTATATTTATCTTGTTTAGCTTAAAAGCGAAAAATAATGTTGAAGATAATTTTGATTCTTCATTTTTATTCGAAGCTTTGAGTTTTATTGGTATTTGGTGCCATTTGAATTAAAATATATAAACAAAGAAATACTCATACTTTCTATTTTAATTAAAGGTTAAAGACGTGCAAATTATATTGGTACTGATGCAGATACATGCGATTGTTTCTAAACGATCAAGGAGTAACATTTATAAATTATAATAATATACAATTAAATCAGATTTTCAAATTACTGTTAAAAAGTTAATCGCAAAGTTATCGTAGATACTCTTCTGCATGAAATATTTACGTAGAAATATTTATATATAACTTTTTAGAACCGTAGTTTCTCAAATATTACATATGAACTTTCATAATATTTAGAAACGTGTTTATCGAATCTTTGGAGAATATCTACAGTTTGCACGTTTAATAATATAGAGAAAGTTGAGGTCATTTTTATATAAATCATATAAGTATGAGTTACTGAAATGGTTTTGTACGAAAAAAAAAATCATTGCGAGTTGTGCGATCAACGTAAAAAATTTGACGTCCATGTTGTTGGTAAAAAATACATGTCACATGTGGTTTTCTAATATTTTTTTGACACAAATACTGCTTACATGATTTATATGAAAGGTATTAAAAGAAGTAGCACTTTTGTGTAAGGGCTTGAATGTTGAATCATTTATATTGTAAACCACTTAAATAATCATTGTAATTTAACTTCGTGATTAATGAAAGAAAAGATGAAAAAATTGCAAAAAAAGGTGGCGGAAACATAAAAAATAGCAGCAAAAGTGACGTACATGTCCAGTCTATGTATTGCGGTAAAAACACAAACATTTCTACTTTCTTAATGTATTTTTGTTTAATATTTCGTTCCAAATATCAAAACAAACTCTGTAGGACTGCTAGGATTTTTAAGGCATTGAGGCAGCTGTCACAGGAAAGAAAGATAATTAGTTTCTTATTAATTATTACTATTATTGTATTATATGTCAACTATTATTATTGTTAATTAATAATTATTAACGAATGTATACATGTAATAAAATATATCGAAGATCAAATCGGACTTGCTTTCAGTTCTTATTTATCCTTTGTTTTTTTGTTTACAGAGATTTAGCAATAAGATATTGCACGAGCTAACAAATCCAGCCGACTAATAATACAGTAGCCACACGTATCATGATTGACAGTTATATAGAACTGTAGCTTTATAATGAGGTCTTAGATAAAAGAAGAAGATTAATTGAAGAGTACTAAAATTAGATGTACTAAGTATGCTTTAAAAGATTACGTACTATGTACTACATCAGTAGATAATTTTCATTGATGACCTTGCAGTGATTATCGTTACTGCTGGAATGAAATATCTTATCGACTATTACAATCAAATCCTCGCTCGTGCCAAGTTATATAATTTTATATTGTATGTTCATACGCAAAAATAGTGCCTTCAGTTGGGTATTTGCATAATTTGTAGATATCGAGCATGATTTAAGATGCCAGTCAAATAAGGAACTGTTTCAAAACGAAGATGGTTGCAATACACGTTATTAAGAAATACCTCTAAAATTTAATTGTGTGTAAATAATAGTAATATTTATAATTCAGTGACAAATGAAGAGATTACGAAATTTTTAAATGTCTGAATTCATAAATTTTCAAGCTTTAATTTTAAAATTATAAAATTTCTTGAATTGTCAAATTTCCAAAGCTTAAATTTTGAAATATTTACATTAGATTAATGATTAAGATATTTTCAGTAATACTAGTTTTCTTGAGGGTCTCACAAGTAGTAGCAACAACTCTGTGTACAGAATAGAGGAAGTACATGTTTAATTATAAGAAATGTATTTTATATTTAAAATTTTTTATTTTCCCATTTTAAATTTTCTTAAAATACCAAACTACTATTGAATGCCATACTAAGATTTACTTTTGTGTTTTATTTATTTTATATCAGTATTGTATTACAAGGTATGTAATAAAAATTTTTAACTAGCAAGAGGATTAATTTGTTATATATATTTGCCAATGTCTTTTTTTAAACTGATTGTCATGCGATATTATCATTTCAATGAATTGTTTATACATAAATAAATTATTTATCAATATCTTGATATAAGAAATAAAAAAGAGACAGAAACCTGCCTTTGTTTGATTACAAGAAATAATAATCCTTTATTCTATAATGTTTTGAATGTATTTCTTTAACTATTGTAATTAATATTAATAAACAAAACAATGCTTCGTGTTCAAAAAATTTATTTAAGGAAAAGCGGTATAATGTTACAAATTTGCAACCAAAGTGAAAATTTTACTAAAGTGCTGTAAAAAATTATATTTAAATTATAATTATAACTAAGTTAACCATGTAAGGGGTGTAATTACACTCTACATATTTTCATTACAAAATATAAAGAAAAAACTTTAACTGCAGTATTATTCGTGACATTTTGTTGATTTTTCTAGAAGACACGAAAAAATTTAATTGAAAATAGTTTCAGTTGTGTGCGTTCCAGAATTTTTTCTGGAAATTAACTAAGAAAGTCATTCATTCATGTCTGATACCAGAATTTTCAAATACTACAATATAATATACAAATTATTAATACATATTTATAAATAGTATATTATTTTACATTTCATTAAAATAATTTTGTGACAATTTAATTCTATAAATTATAAAATTAAATTGTAATTGTATTATTTAAAAAATATTAAATTATACAATTCGTGGAATCAACTTTATACAATTCTAAGTAACAACAAATTACACAGGTAAATAATACTGTTGATACAAAAAAGTCATCGTCTAAAATTAATATCTAACGAATAAATAAAATAAAGAATCTCTGGAGTCGCGTATTTCCCCAATGTTATATCCGATAATGATTGATCACGGCTGTTCATTTCATCACCAGAATTGATAAGAAAATAAAGCGTCTCATTTTTGTCTTCACCTCGAATCGAGATTATTTCTAAGAAACGTAATTTATGTTTAATCAGTGATTATCAATCAACTGTACAACCCCGGGTCTTTTACTTTTCATTAAATCCATGTAGTAACACGGATGTGATAATCTTGGAATTTACTTTGGACGAATGAAAGTTCGATAAAATAGTTGATTGTGAGAATAATCTTGGCACACCTGAAATCTAATAACCGGTGATAAGATTGTGAAGATTCGGATACAGGTTAGAGGATGAGGGACTTATACCACGCCATCACCTGACATGCCAATTTAGATATGATAATTATGCGCTGTAACCACTCGTCTCAAGCTTCGACTGATTGTGCGACGTTTTATTACGCCGAATTTAAGGAATTTCGACATTGATCGGTCATTTGACTACTGGGGTCGGTAGAACAATTTATTTTTGAGTGGGGAATTCAATTTGGAAATTTGATAATTTCGCAGTATATGGATTTGAGGGTTTGATAATTTAGAAATTTAGAAATTTGAATCATATTATAACGTAGAAACATGTCCGTGAGTTACATTGAGACGTTTTACGCATATTCGAAAACAAAGTAGAGAATATTATATGTGTACTCTTATTATGATAGTACAGTAAAACCCTTATTAAGGGGCACTTTTTAAGAGATACATAAAAATTAATTACGTCATCATTGTGGGTGCTTCGACTACTTTTTCTTTGATTACTTTCTTTGTAAAAATTTACTGCGTATGTCAATCTCTTACGGTTTAGGACTGCGCAGGGTGTCAAGGTTTTCATGAGATAATCGCGGATCCTGGGCAACAAATTTTCCCAGATGGCTAGTGGCGAGTACATCACAATTTTATCGCAACAACTTGTTACCTTTATAAACGAACATGATGCAATTAATTGAACTTTCCAACAGGACAACGCTGCTGTACACACCAGTCGGAAGACAGTATCATGGTTGGAAAGAAACAAAGTCAATATTATTAAATGGCCAGCATGTTCACCAGACCAAAACCCGATGGAAAATATTTGGCCATTATCCGAAAAATTTATGTCGAAAATCGACAGTATGAAAATATTTTAGAATCAAAAAACGCAATACTAAAAGCGTGTAATGAAATTAGCCACCGAATTCACCAAAAAATGCAATACTAAAAGCATGTAATGAAATTAGCCACCGAATTTTTCAGAAATTCATCGAGAGCATGCCAGATAGAATTTTTCAACTTATAACAAAACAAGGAGGCAAATTTATTAATTACAAGTTATTAAAATCATATTTATGTGTATATATTTGACATTTATTCACATGGTGCTATAGTTATGCAACGATGAAAAATCAATTTTCATGTTATATTTTCATATATAATAAAATAATATCAACAAATTTTTACTGAAGTTCATTGTTCACTATACCCTTCAATTTCAAATGGATGATTTTTATGTATTGTTATACCAAAGTCAGAATCTACTAAAAATATAGGTGGTGTTACAGGGTTTGTCCAATAAGTATCCGGACTGATTTTTTTCTGCTAGTTTGGTAGGTCAGGGAGCAATCTCTATTAGCTAGATCGATGCGGAAAGTTGTTATGTATAATAAAAATCTAGGTTCATTTGTTTCCCACCATTTGTTTCGTTTATATCGTGCTTGAAGTGGAAGCGCATTTAACGTTCGCGTCGAGAATCAAAATGCAACGAAACATCGAGCAGCGTTGTGCGATTAAATTTTGCGTTAAGCTAAATAAATCTGCTACGGAGACATTTAATATGATTCGTCAGGCCTACAAGGATGATTCCATGTCCAGAACGAGTGTTTTTGAGTGGCACAAAAATTTCAAAGATGGCCGTGAAGACGTTGAAGACGAGCAACGCGTTGGACGACCGTCGTCGTCCCGATCCGATACGAATGTCGACAAAGTGCGGGAAATTTTGAATTCCGATCGCCGTTTAAGCATTCGTTTAATTGCACAGGAATTAAATTTAACGAAATCCACTATTCATTCTATCGTAACCGAGGATTTGCAAATGCGAAAAGTGTGCGCTAAATTGATTCCGAAGGTTTTAACAGAGGAACAGAAAGAACGCCGTGTGACGATTTCTCGTGAACTTTTAGAATGTTTGGAGAGGGATTCAAATCTTTTAGACAGAGTGATTACCGGTGACGAAACATGGATTTTTGAATACGATCCGGAGTCAAAAATGCAAAGTGCTGAGTGGCACACAAGCGGCTCTCCTCGACCGAAAAAGGCTCGCATGAGCAAGTCAAGGATAAAATCGATGCTTATTGTCTTCTTTGACGCAAAAGGTGTTATCCACAAGGAGTTTGTGCCTGCTGGACAAACAGTGAATGGCCAATTTTACGCAGAAGTGCTCGAACGTTTGAGACTTAAAGTACGCCGCGTACGAAGGGAGATCGCGAATTCCTGGATGCTCCATCACGACAACGCGCCAAGTCACACGTCGTTAATTGTGAGACAGATACTGACGAAGCATAACATCACAACACTACCCCAACC